TACAATGTGTTTGAATAAAGATTGTTCATTGTATTTTTGTACAATTGTAACCGGTTCCAGTTTGAATCTTACGAACTCAGTTACGCAGAATTATTTTGTGATAAATATCTTGGCCGAATTTTTCGTTATTCTGCTGACCTATCTTGTCGCTCTAAGGAAAGTCGGTTCTTCCTGAAAATACCACAGAATTACCGATGTAGTGAGTTGTGACAGTGGAACGAAAGAGACAAAATTCGGTGTTGAAGTTCAAATCTAAACAACCACTTGGTTGATTGTTTGTTTTAAAGTTAAGTATAAAGCTACACAATGGACTATCTGTGCTCTGCCCACCACTGGCATCGAAACCTGGTTTCTAGCGTGGTAACTCCACAGACATACCGCTGTGTTACTGGGGGGGGGGGGCACTTTAACTGCGTTTTCACTTCATCTTCGTAAGGTAGTTTGTTAGTTATAAAACTTGAAAACAAGATTTAGAAAATATCTCCGTTCTGTGTAGCAGTCGTAGAGTTGTTACCTCATACACAAGGTAAAGTACAGCTCAATGCAACTATCTTATGAACCAGTTTCCACGATCGGATCCAGATTCAGATAATAACACCCAAAGCTGTAAGTATCTGAAACAGCGCCCTTCAGTAGCTAAGAGGTAAGTCTCTGAACTTATGACGCTAAAAATCGAGTTTCGATACCCATTATGTAGCTTTGCACTTAACAACAAACAAACCGAAACAGCGAGGGTACATAGTTGATGAATCAATGCTTTCCAGTTATTATAAGTTGTTGTCTTACTATTCTGCATACACCTAGTTAGAATGGTATATTAAACTACCTACATTGATTACTAAGTTAATTATAATTGTGTGACATTTACTGTGTGACAGAAATTAATAACCTCCTTCGTACTTAGAACGTTAGAGATTAGAACTTTGAAAAAAATTGTAAACATGAAATATTTACTGTTACGTCTCCGTTTGTTAATTAACTTTCCGTAACTTCGTTCCGACGAAACTTTAGCGACACAAGTCCTTACTTAATAAAACTGGTTTATTCTTTCTGAATATAACTTCACGATACATTTATTTTCAACAGTCGCTCTTTTACAAACGTTTTAACAACGAACGTTAACCTCAACAATACGTCTCTCTCTGACTGCAGTTCAATTACTCATTACCTACACACACATTCTTGTCCCGTCACGTTGTCACCCTCTTATATATACCAGACTACCCTATATCTAGTAAATGCTAGAGCATTCGCCAAGGTACAGGATAGTTCTAGAAACGTGGCGTCACACTAGTCACGTGACTTCGCTGACGCAACACTGCCCCTTCCTTAGTATTGTTCGTCCCGAACAATAACCACATACAATAAACCAATAACAATTAACAATAACTTAATTAAATGTACAGAATTACAAACACAAAATTACAATTCAACAAAGTCTCTTAATTTTACGGGACGTATCTTCTTCCGTACTGGTCTCCGTCTTGTTGGCTTCTGCTTCATGTGGAGTTCATCTGATTCATCAGTAAATGTCCTATCATCGATAACAGTCATATCAGTGGTAGTAACTTCACCAAGAGCTTCACCGTTTCCCTCCTCAAAACTGAGTAGAGTTTCTTCTTCGACGGTGGCTTCTTCAGGTGGCACGTCTTCAGCAGCATCATTTGTTCTGTTGTCCACTTCGTCCCAACTGAAATGTCCTGGACCATGATAACACCAAAGCCTGTTGGCATGCACTACTTTTGGCTTACCTCGCCGATCACATTTAATCCGGAAAATCACGTCTGAGAGACGATCCACTATGTCATATGGGCCTTCCCATGGAGAAGACAACTTAGGATTCTTCTCTTTGGTCTTCCTGGGATTATACAACCACACCTTGTCTCCTAGTTCAAAGCTGACT